CCTGTACGGGTATATCTTGAGGTTATCTTGAGATGATTTCGGGGCTTTTTAGTGTCCCCGCGGCCCGGTCCTTGACCAGGCTTCCACCCCCAGGAAGCAGCCCGTGACAGCTGACTATAGGTACCTATTTTACTGCTAGGTAACAGGGGCATAGGGTGAAAGAAACTCTGCCCAATGTTTCTCGCCGGCGCCTGGGATCGAACCCAGGACCACAGGATCACAAGTCTAGCGTGCTGTTCGCTCGGCCGACCGGCTCCCTGGCCGGTCTATGTTACTATATCACAGAATTCCTATTTCTGGTCCCTTACCTGGGAGAGGAAGCACCTGCCTGGTCCCTTACCTGGGAGAGGAAGCACCTGCCTGGTCCCTTACCTGGGAGAGGAAGCACCTGCCTGGTCCCTTACCTGGGAGAGGAAGCACCTGCCTGGTCCCTTACCTGGGAGAGGAAGCACCTGCCTGGTCCCTTACCTGGGAGAGGAAGCACCTGCCTGGAGCCCTTACCTGGGAGAGGAAGCACCTGCCTGGAGCCCTTACCTGGGAGAGGAAGCACGTGCCTGGTCCCTTACCTGGGAGAGGAAGCACCTGCCTGGAGCCCTTACCTGGGAGAGGAAGCACCTGCCTGGAGCCCTTACCTGGAAGAGGAAGCACCTGCCTGGAGCCCTTACCTGGAAGAGGAAGCACCTGCCTGGAGCCCTTACCTGGGAGAGGAAGCACCTGCCTGGAGCCCTTACCTGGGAGAGGAAGCACCTGCCTGGAGCCCTTACCTGGGAGAGGAAGCACCTGCCTGGAGCCCTTACCTGGGAGAGGAAGCACCTGCCTGGAGCCCTTACCTGGGAGAGGAAGCACCTGCCTGGAGCCCTCACCTGGGAGAAGAAGCACCTGCCTGGAGCCCTTACCTGGGAGAAGAAGCACCTGCCTGGAGCCCTTACCTGGGAGAGGAAGCACCTCCCTAGTGACCATAGACTCACCTGAAAACCTCCCTACAGATCGATTTATTGTTTCTCTATTATTGCACAAATCGAATAAAATAAAATCTGCATTGTACTTGGAGAGCAGAGATGCGTAGCGGTAGTGTAGAGGCGCATGGTGACTAGTTAGTGTGAAGGACGTGGTTAGAGTAGAGTTATTACAGAGGTTAGTGGTTAGTGCCGAGGCGTATAGGGCAGCTGAGTGTCTCACGTCTTGGGATGACCCGCGGTGAAGGGGGAATTGTATTTGGTAAAGAATCTGATCTGGACGTGACTCCTTTGGTGTCAACCGGTTGGAGCTATGGTGGTTGTGGTTGTAGCGTGACCCTCCACACGCACCGGACACACACCCGCTCACACGCTCCGCACACGCACGCAAACTTTCCCTCCCCCCCTCCCGCAAGAGGTGGCTCTGGCCTCTGCCATATTAATCAGAAGCCCCACAGACTGTCCTCATATTCTGGTCGAGGTTCAACACAACTATTTTCCTGACGGGACGGATTTGACATTAATACCCGGACACTTGCACGCCGCCACACGCAATATTGAGGCCGCGGCTCCTCTCCCTGGCAGGTGGTGAGCCCCGGCTGAACGTGAGTTACGCCAGGTGTAAGTGTCGCTGTTGGTACAACCTCACCTCGCTCACTAAGTCAGGTTTCTATTGTAAAGAAGGGAAGGGGGGGTGGAGAGAGAGAGAGAGAAAGAGAAGAAGAAGAAGACGAAGAAGAAGAAGGGAAACTATCAAGCGAAAGTGCCAAGCCGTTACGACTATATAGCACTTGGCTTGGAAGGGGTCAGGATAAGAATTTGGGATGGGACAGAGAGAGAGAGAGAGAGAGAGAGAGAGAGAGAGAGAGAATAGTTGGTTACAGAGTGAGGATACACAGAACAAGACATACAATTTGTATTAAATATACATAAGGTTATGTTAGAAGATCAGAAGGCTCTCTCTCTCTCTCTCTCTCTCTCTCTCTCTCTCTCTCTCTCTCTCTCTCTCTCTCTCTCTCTCTCTCTCTTCTCATCCCTGTGAGTGTTCCTCACTCCCTCAGACAACATAGCTACCCTCCGTGTGACTGCTCTAGGCATCCTGAATACCAGCCTGATCAATCAGTGTGTTAGTGCCTGCTGGCTGTAGTACGACGTACGACCAATGAGCGACATAGAATTACGTTCACTCCTCAGTAGACTTAGAGCCTTGAACTGGGGGTCAACCCATCCGGTATTCCCAGGTAATGGTGACCTGTCCATCTTCCCTGCTCACTCTACTCCAACTGAACGGCTTTTGGGTATTTTCAACATATTTGATATTTACTTTGAACTGATATACACAAATTCTCCCCAATTTCCCAACATTACCAATCATGCCAGCCTGGTGGATGATTGAGGATTGGGTAGATTTATCGCCCTTAACAAACAACAATGTTCCAATGTCCAGAGTACAAATGCCTTAAAATGTATCATCAATGACCTGATAAGTCAGGCAGGCAAAATTGGCTCTTCAAGTTATCATCTTTCGTGGAGGTGTGATATATGGTATACGCTGGCATACCAGTATACCATATACCAGAATATGGTATACTGGCATACTTATTATAAAAGTTAGATCTTCCAACGTAATTACTCCTTATCTTCTGCATTTCCATTCAGGGAGTTTGAGGTGCAATGTTTGTGTTATCGATTAAAAAACAAACAAGTCTTATTGCTTTATCGATATCTTTGAGGCAATTTAATTAGTTGCTTGAGTTTGGATGGTGTTGCCCCGGCATAGTAACTATCTATTTAAGGCAGCCTGGCCTCGGGCCGGGCTTGGGGGAATAGAAGAACTCCTAGAACCCCCATCCAGGTACAATCCAGGTACAAGACATTTAGAATTTGTAATTTCAGTTCTTTCTTTCTGTTCTATACAGTTCTGGGACTCTTAATACAAGACTCTAACCTCAGATCGATTAGACCTAACCTAAGCAGTCCTAGAGTCTAATTAATGAATCACTCGATAAACACCTCCAAAGGCTACCTGATCAACCAGACTGTGATTCATACGCGTCCAACAACTTAGTGAACCAGATCATCAACCAGGAGGCCTGGTCGAGGACCGGGCCGCGGGGACACTAAAAAGCCCCGAAATCATCTCAAGATAACCTCAAGATAGCAGTAAATAGGTACCTGGGAGTTAGTCAGCTGTCACGGGCTGCTTCCTGTGTGTGTGTGTGTGTGTGTGTGTGTGTGTGTGTGTGTGTGTGTGTGTGTGTGTGTGTGTGTGTGGAGGACAAAAAATTGTAATAGTTGATTGACTTACAGTCAAGAGGCGGGCCGAAAGAGCAGAGCTCAACCCCCGCTAGCACAACTAGGTGATAACAGACAGACAGAGCCGACTCAGCCTTCCAAAACAGAGCTAAGTATAGAGTGCGAGGTTCAAAGCGCTTAAACAGACACCTCGTCCATTCAGACCTTCAAAACAAACAGGCGCCCTTCGAGGTCAGAGTTCAAGCACAAACACGGCGACCTCCAACACATCTCTTAATAGGTCAAACACTGTTTTTGCCTCAAGGACAGGGGTAGGAGAGGGAGAGGCGCATGGGAGGGGTAGGTGGGAGGAGAGGGAGAGGAGGGAGAAGGAGAGGAGGGAGAGGGAGAGAGGGAGGGAGAGAGGAAGGAGCTAAAAGAGGCCGAGGGCAAATATCAAATATTGGAACTTTTAAGGCGCAGTGATATTACCGATTTATCATTCGGCTCTCGAAAGAAGGTATTTTGAAGCCTGGGAGCATCACATAGAGTGGTGAGTGGTAGTAGTGAGTGGTAGTGGTAGTGGTAGTGGTAGTGGTAGTGGTAGTGGTGAAAATGAGATGAGGGGACGTGAGTGGGTTATGGGAACCGGGCGATGGAATGAGGTAATATGGTGTAGTGATAGGGTATGAGGGAACTGGTGATGGAATGAGTGAATGAGAGTGAGCAGATGAAGGGATCCAGGTGGTGGAATGGATAAATAAGAGGAAGTGAGAGTATGAGGGGGACAATGGCTGGTGGTATGACTGAACGACAGTCAGCTAGTGAGGTGGCAACCAGGACGAGCACAGAACCACCACAGAACCACCACAGAACCACCACAGAACCACAGAACCACCACAGAACCACCACAGAACCACCACAGAACCACAGAACCACCACAGAACCACCACAGAACCACCACAGAACCACCACAGAACCACCACAGAACCACAGAACCACCACAGAACCAGCCTGTCTGGGCTGGTTCCTCCCTGGGAGGAGGAAGAACCCCATTAGATTACAATAAATAATATGCGAGGAAGCCCAACATGTTCCCCCAAGAAATGAGACACACATATATCTTGAGTAAATTAATAAAGACGCTGGAAATTAATTTGGTTAAGTCTACCCTGACGGGACAGCTAATCCTACTAATGGCAGGGCTGAACCAGCACACACTCTAATTTGCAACAGATCTTCCAATACGAAAATGAAGAAAAAGAACGGACTGACAACCATGTCTCCTCAACCCAAGCAGAGCTCATTGTTACTGCATTAAGGCACCTGGAGGGAAACACAGTGCTAGCAGTGATCTACATTGACTCAAAACTCTACCTTCAAAGTTAGGCAGAAAGGAGACACAGTCGCTAAACTGAACTGTGAATATGTTATCTAATTAAGGACGATCAAGTTCCTGTGGACTCTCAATTATAATCTGTGGAAATACGCTCAAAGTTGTGCTCATTTTCACAGGTTCTAAATTTGGAATTTCTAAACTCAAAGAAATGACTTGCAGATCCACTTCTGTGGCTGCCAAGGGTGTTTAAGGACGCGTTAAATAATTCCCAAAACTCTCCCACAAATTACAGGTTATCATCAGTCCTCAGCACCGGGGTAAGGTTACAGAGGAGGAAAGATAGAGGAGCCAGACAGCGAGCTTCCATGCACTGCAGTTGCTGCCGACGAACAGTCATTATAGAGGGCAAGGAGGTGGCGGCGGGAGGGAATATGAAATAGCAAGAATTCATTGTAGATACAAGTGCCAATATGGCGTCTTGGGGTGGGAAGTGCCGCCGGGCAGCGGAGTTGCAGAATCTGCCATGTAAGAGAAGGACATAGTTTCCTCCACTGGGAGCCGGTCGGCCGAGCGGACAGCATACTGTACTTGTGATCCTGTGGTCCTGGGTTCGATCCCAGGCGCCGGCGAGAAACAATGGGCAGAGTTTCTTTCACCCTATGCCCCTGTTACCTAGCAGTAAAATAGGTACCTGGGTGTTAGTCAGCTGTCACGGGCTGCTTCCTGGGGGTAGAGGCCTGGTCGAGGACCGGGCCGCGGGGACACTAAAAAAAAAAAGCCCCGAAATCATCTCAAGATAACCTCAAGATAACCACTAACTAAAAAGATTGTACCCACATAAGAAACGTTTACTGTACAATATTCCATAAAGTTTGACATAGGAAAACACATTTTGGAAAATATAGCTACTCTCCTTAAGCAATTAAACTCCACTTTACACCCGTAAATTAACATGATCTTGAGGATTGTTAGATGGTTGTAACGTGGTCTTATGGGTTGTTAGATGGTTGTAACGTCGTCTTGTGGGTTGTTAGATGGTTGTAACGTGGTCTTATGGGTTGTTAGATGGTTGTAACGTCGTCTTGTGGGTTGTTAGATGGTTGTAACGTGGTCTTGTGGGTTGTTAGATGGTTGTAACGTCGTCTTGTGGGTTGTTAGATGGTTGTAACGTGGTCTTGTGGGTTGTTAGATGGTTGTAACGTGGTCTTGTGGGTTGTTAGATGGTTGTAACGTGGTCTTGAGGGTTGTTAGATGGTTGTAACGTGGTCTTGTGGGTTGTTAGATGGTTGTAACGTGGTCTTGTGGGTTGTTAGATGGTTGTAACGTGGTCTTGTGGGTTGTTAGATGGTTATAACGTGGTCTTGTAGGTTGTTAGATGGTTGTAACGTGGTCTTGAGGGTTGTTAGATGGTTGTAACGTGGTCTTGTGGGTTGTTAGATGGTTGTAACGTGGTCTTGTGGGTTGTTAGATGGTTATAACGTGGTCTTGTGGGTTGTTAGATGGTTGTAACGTCGTCTTGTGGGTTGTTAGATGGTTGTAACGTGGTCTTGTGGGTTGTTAGATGGTTGTAACGTGGTCTTGTGGGTTGTTAGATGGTTGTAACGTGGTCTTGTGGGTTGTTAGATGGTTGTAACGTGGTCTTGTGGGTTGTAATCTCTCGTCTTGACTCTGCATAAGAGTACCGGTGGCAAAGTGAGCAACCAAGCGGGTTTCCTTTCTGTCTGGGGGTGTTGTGCATGCTTCTACTGCCGCATGTTCCTCACTGACAACAGTGCCGGAGGAAATGTGTGAGTGGCTAGAAGTAATAGGAATAGATGGGAATGGAAAAGGTGTGTGTAGCCAAAGGAATGAGTAATAGAGCGAAATAATAAATACTACACACAAGTCTCTCTCTCTCTCTCTCTCTCTCTCTCTCTCTCTCTCTCTCTCTCTCTCTCTCTCTCTCTCTCTCTCTCTCTCTCTCTCTCTCTCTCCAACACTTGGTAATTTTTGTCCATCTATCATGAGCCTTTGATAAATTACAGTGAGGGAAAGTTGGCCGTGTTCCGTTGTAATCATGTAGTGGAGTAGGAGCATACATCACCGTAGTTGGTCATAAGAACATAGAGTATTGTATTTTTCCTTTGAAAAATAGACCATGACATCAAGAAAGGTATTACATCATCGTTGTCTGGTCTTCAGAATGATGCATTATTTAGATGGTGTTGAAGGCGAAATTTAATGGATTTTTATATATATATATAATATATATATATATATATATATATATATATATATATATATATATATATATATATATTTTTATATATATATATATATATATATATATATATATATATATATATATATATATATATATATATATATATATATATATATATCGAAATGTTGTAGCGACTATTAACTAGCCAAAGTAGACTCAATTCGATGGTACCTTGAAAACTTGAGGAGTTCCTACCTTGAGAAGGAAAATTTTAACTTTGAAGAAGTTCCTCCTTAACGCAACATTAAGTGTGGCCTTTCCAACATACCCGTTAAGAACGCTGGTGAACGCAGTGTGCTACATATTAACGTATTCTGGCGTGCCACATAACCTTGGCTTCAAAATACATACGAAAGAAACATTGTGCTCTCATCCTAGTGTTATGATCCTCACCCAAAAGAAGGAACATAAATTTTCCTGTAAAAAGTTTCATAGGAATTGTTTCGAAGTGTCGCTTGTCCGCGTCAGCAGTTACTGTGGGACGAACCCTGGGTGGGGGTTGGGGAGGGTAGGAGGGGGGGAAGGGGTGATGGGGGACGTTATGGGTTTGGTGGTGTTATGGGGTGATTGGAGGGTCGTGAAGGGATAGGGAGGGTGGCATGGGGTGGTGATAAGAGAGTTGATGGTTAAGTGTGGTCAGCATTAGTGTGGTCAGCATTAGTGTGGTCAGCATTAGCGTGGTCAGCATTAGTGTGGTGAGCATCAGTGTGGTGAGAGATGAAGCACAAGCAATATGCTAGCGTCAGTCACTACAACTCACCCCTCGGGACACACACACACACAAGCAGCGACTGCCTCACCAGTTGATTGACAGTTGAGAGGCGGGACCAAAGAGCCAGAGCTCCACCCCCGCAAGTACAACAACTAGGTGAATACTTCTCTATAATTAATCTTACCGTCCTGCTGTTAAGATAGTACTCTTTGTGACTATGTTAACCATCGCACCAACACCACGGTGATGAACAAACTCAACCTAGAATTTGGTACAATTCATTTTCTATTGACCAGACAAAAAGCTAAAAACCGAACTTAAACATTCCTAGGCCTATTATAGCACATATATAATTATAATAATAATTCATTAAGTCGGGGGACAGGAAGCCTGAGTGTATCCATGCACGTTAAGCTAATTTCGAGGTCCTCCTACCCCCCAAGGTTGAATTACTTGACGCCCAGGATTCAATCTCATAACAAGTTGACTAACTCTTGGGTACCGACTCACTGCTGGGTGAACAGAGGCATTAAGTTCAAAGTACATGCGCCAAACTATTTATGTTTATTCCCTCTATTCTGAAATAGAGGGAATACAGAGAACATATACGGCACGCATAGACGCAATAAAGCACCTAAATTATTGGGATCGTCTCAAAGCCCTCCAAATGTACTCACTAGAAAGAAGACGAGAGAGATATCAAATAATATACACGTGGAAGATACTGGAGGGCCAAGTACCAAATCTACACAGTAAAATAACAACGTACTGGAGTGAACGATATGGAAGAAAATGTAGAATAGAACCAGTGAAGAGCAGAGGTGCCATAGGCACAATCAGAGAACACTGTATAAACATCAGAGGTCCGCGGTTGTTCAACACCCTCCCAGCAAGCATAAGAAATATTGCCGGAACAACCGTGGACATCTTCAAGAGGAAACTAGATTTATTCCTCCAAGGAGTGCCGGACCAACCGGGCTGTGGTGGGTATGTGGGCCTGCGGGCCGCTCCAAGCAACAGCCTGGTGGACCAAACTCTCACAAGTCAAGCCTGGCCTCGGGCCGGGCTTGGGGAGTAGAAGAACTCCCAGAACCCCATCAACCAGGTATGTCCCGCCCGGGATTCAAACCAGGAATTCTAGATTGTGAGTCGAGAACGAACCCAACTATAATACAGGAACCCTTTGGTCCCCGGTAATATATATATATATATATATATATATATATATATATATATATATATATATATATATATATATATATATATATATATATATATATACTATATTAGGCCTTTGATCACGTGTATTAGGCCTTGGGCCTAATCACATGAGACCAGAAGGCATGGCAGGATGTGCAGAATACCCCCGTTGAAAAGCAGAGGTGCAACAGGTTCTCTGAGAGAGAACTCTTATTAACATCAGAGGCCCGAGACTGTTCAACACGCTTCCACTACACTTTCTTGATCAACCAGGCTGTGACTCATACGTCAGGCTGCGAGCAGCCGAGTCCAACAACCTGGTTGATCAGTCCAACAACCTGGTTGATCAGTCCAGCAACCAGGATGCCTGGTCGACGACCGGGCCGCGGGGACGCTAAGCCCCGGAAGCACCTCAAGGTAACCAGATCTTTCTCTCTATTTGTCTCTTGCAGGATTTTCCCTCCCAGATGGTACCATGAAATCAGCCTTCTGCTCCCTTCGCCTAATTTCATTACTTTACACATTCCCGAGTTAAACTTTAGTAGCCATTATCTAGACCATCCACCAGTTTGTCCAGGTCGTCCTGTAGTCTCTGTCTATCTTCATCTGTCTTGATTCTTCTTATAATCAGTTTATCACCAGCCAACATTGAGCATAGGTTTGGTGTTACCAGAGGAGGAGGATCCGGACACAGAGTTGTGAACATGAACCAATAGACAAGGAAGAAGGGAATTAGATTCCCATACACCTTTGAATTAAAATTAAAAGGATCCAGTTTGTTAAGAAAAAAGAGGAATGGTTGGAAAAGACCTTTCTCTTCTCCTTTCTCCTCCTTCCTCCTTCCTCCTTCCATCTCCTCCTCCTCCTCCTTCTTCACCCTCTTCCTCCTTCCTACAAATTCGGTGAAAATTTGATGTTCCCCTAAGAGTGTTCTCTCCCGCGCCACGGAATCTATCATTCTAATCTGCATACAGGAGAATTGGAGGAGAAGGCGGAGAGAGAGAGAGATAAAGAACGAGAGAAGCACCAGGAAGATGAACAGGATTACCTGGAAGTAGAACACAAGAACACAAGGATTAGGAAGATTAGGAAATCCACGAAGTAGATTAGGAACGGAAATAAAATAGAACAAACGTATCAGGAAATAAAATAGGAACATCAAGGAAGTGGAACAGGAACTCCAGGAAGTGGAACAGGAACACCAGATAAGTGGAACAGGGACACCAGGGTAGTGGAACAGGAACTCCAGGGAAGTGGAACAGGAACACCAGGGTAGTGGAACAGGGACACCAGGGTAGTGGAACAGGAACACCAGGGTAGTGGAACAGGAACTCCAGGGAAGTGGAACAGGAACTCCAGGGAAGTGGAACAGGAACACCAGGGTAGTGGAACAGGCACACCAGGGAAGTGGAACAGGCACACCAGGGAAGTGGAACAGGCACACCAGGGAAGTGGAACAGGCACACCAGGGAAGTGGAACAGGATGAAAGACGCAAAAAGAATGTTTCAAAAAAGATGAGAAGAATTCTCTAAGGTGTTAAGTGTATGTATTGGCTTGTATACATACTGGAAGGTGAAGCCTTGTATACATACAGGGAGGTGAAGCCTTGTATACATACAGGGAGGTGAAGCCTTGTATACATACAGGGAGGTGAAGCCTTGTATACATACAGGGAGGAGAAGCCTTGTATACATACAGGGAGGAGAAGCCTTGTATACATACAAGGAGGTGAAGCCTTGTATACATACAGGGAGAAGCCTTGTATACATAGAGGGAGGTGAAGCCTTGTATACATACACGGAGGTGAAGCCTTGTATACATACAGGGAGGAGAAGCCTTGTATACATACAGAGAGGTGAAGCCTTGTATACATACAGGGAGGAGAAGCCTTGTATACATACAGGGAGAAGCCTTGTATACATAGAGGGAGGTGAAGCCTTGTATACATACACGGAGGTGAAGCCTTGTATACATACAGGGAGGTGAAGCCTTGTATACATACAGGGAGGTGAAGCCTTGTATACATACAGGGAGGTGAAGCCTTGTATACATACAGGGAGGTGAAGCCTTGTATACATACAGGGAGGTGAAGCCTTGTATACATACACGGAGGTGAAGCCTTGTATACATACAGGGAGGTGAAGCCTTGTATACATACAGGGAGGAGAAGCCTTGTATACATACAGGGAGGTGAAGCCTTGTATACATACACGGAGGTGAAGCCTTGTATACATACAGGGAGGAGAAGCCTTGTATACATACAGGGAGGTGAAGCCTTGTATACATGGATTCAAAAGTTCAGGTCAAACTATCTCCATGCTCCTATGAGCTTGGAGATAGTATATCACTTAAGAGCTCTTAAGAGCATGGAGGTTAGTTTACCTAAACTTTCAGCTACTGTTTTGATACATTGTTACATTTCACTCTTTTATGTAAGCATGTGATGGGCAGTTTTGTTATTATTATTTATTGTTATAAAAGATATAAAGCAAGAACACACTTCAACTATGAACGGCGTCGAGTACTCAGTAAAGTGTGAGTGTATGTGCACCATGAATCAGAGTACACCTCTAGGAGTACGTGTCCCTGTGATTACTGAAGTCACAGTAGTCACAAATACAATGACTACTGAAGTACAATACAATGTGTGTGGTTGTAACTGAAGCTAAAGTAAGATTGGTGGAAAAATGCATTAAATATGCCCGAGATATATTATATAGTGTTCTATAAATATTATTATTACATAATTGCGAGGAAAAATATTTTTATTACCGGTTTTAACGATACATTTTAATTTAGTATTTAGGATATTTTTTATCGTTATCAATAATTATTTTTTTTATTATCTTGCTGTTATTATTATTTAGTCAGAAATAAAGAGAAGACTGTAGGCGTCCCTGGAAACACGTTCCACACACCTGGAAAACTGTGTGTAATAAAGTGTTCCAGGCCGCTACCACACAAGCGGTGAAAGACTGCTCTGCTGTCACAGCCGGGCAGGAGGCAGGCACACAAGCAATCCCTCACTTGCACAAGCAAAAACAATGAGGTAAAATTCATCCCCCAAATGGATTTAGAATGTTCCCAAGCTCAGCAATTTTTCTCTTTTATTTTTCACTCGTGGCGCTGCTTCCACTTTCTAATTCCTCCCTCCCAAAAAAACATTAATTTATATACCTTCGAATGTTTATATTTTGTTTTAATCCCGTTAAAATACACAGAGCGTTCCACTCTCACCGAAGCTCTATTAAATCGGGATATACATATGAATTCAGGGTCTTCGTGGCACTGTTATCCCTCGTGGGCGATGAGGTCTTTGTTCTGTTCAACACAATGTTCCAACGTCAATCACTGTTTGTGCGTCTTTACCTGAATGTCGTGATTCATTCATTAATCCCTAATCATTATTTATAATGAATTTATATTAATATATGGGTATCATATCAATCATTCAGTCATTAATTGATATAAGTATTCCTAATGATACGGTTTATTAGGGAAGTCTGTTGCTAATGAAACCGCAAGCTGGAGCTGTTATCTTACATCTGACGCCTGAACGCGTTTCTGTAATGTCTGTATTAATGGTTTCCATTCAGAATAAACTTTTATTTAGTGGTAAGTTACTATCATGATAATACCAGGCTGAAGTTGAAGGTAAGTGTGGGAGTGTAAGTGTAAGTAGGGAGCCGGTCGGCCGAGCAGACAGCACGCGGGACTTGTGATCCTGTGGTCCTGGGTTCGATCCCAGGCGCCGGCGAGAAACAATGGGCAGAGTTTCTTTCACCCTATGCCCCTGTTACCTAGCAGTAAAATAGGTACCTGGGTGTTAGTCAGCTGTCACGGGCTGCTTCCTGGGGGTAGAGGCCTGGTCGAGGACCGGGCCGCGGGGACACTAAAAAGCCCCGAAATCATCTCAAGATCTCAAGATAAGAAGTGTGTGCCAGAGCTTTCACATGGTCAGCTGGCTGGATTTCCAATGGATCTTCGTGTTGAGAGAACATGTTCTAAATGCAAGATGGTGTAGGAATACTTGATCCCTGATGGAGTGTTGTTGTTGAGGCCGCTGACCGTCTTGTGCTGCACCTGCCACCTTCTCCTTGTCCAAGCAGCTGGACATGGTTTGGAATCTTTGAGAACCTTCGCTTTATACATAAACGCTGAGGCGTTGACGGGTCCTGATTATTATTGACGTTAGTGCAACTGGTCAATAATTCTTTGCCAATGCTTTGCTCCCTCCCTTGTGTAGAGGGGCTATGTCTGCTACTTTAAGTGCATCTGGTATCTCCCCCGTGTCCAAGCTCATCCTCCACACTATACTGAGTGCCTGTGCTACCGGCACTTTGCATTTCTTTATAAATATTGAATTCCATGAATCTGGACCCGGGGCCGAGTGCATGGGCATGTTTTCAATATCTCTTTCAAAGTCTAGTGCGCTCGTGTTGATATCAGTTATATTTACAAGGGTTTGGATATCCCGCATAAAGAAATTGTCTGGATCTTCCACTTTCGTGTTGTTTATTGGAGTGCTAAACATGTCCTCATACTGCTTTTTTAGGATTTCACTAATTTCTTTGTCATCCTCTGTGTATGAACCTTCACTTGTAGGAATAGGTCCAATACTGGCAGTGGTTTTTGCTTTTGATTTCGCATATGTGAAGAAGTATTTTGGATTTTTCTGTATTTCCTGAATTGCTTTCTGTTCTAACTGCCTTTCTTCAGTTTGATATGAGTGTTTCAATTTCCGCTCGATTTCTTCAATCTCCCTATTTAAATTATTCCTTCTTAGACGGGAACGTCGTGTCTGCATAAGCATTTCCGTTATTTTTTCCTTCTTTTATAGTGTCGTCTGCGTTCTCTTTCTACGTTGGATCTCTTTCTGGCTTTCCTCAAAGGAACATGTTTCAGACAGACTTGATACGCTTCCGAAGTCAGTTTTTCTATTCCTTCTGTAGGACTTGTATTACTTAGAACAGTTCCCCATGGAATGTTTGTAAGTTCCCTGTTTATTTTCTCCCAGTCTATCCTTTTATTATTAAAATTGAATTTACTGAATAACCCCTTTCGCTTCATCAACGTTTTAGGTCTATTCTGAGTATTGATGGTCGTTTGCACTTCATTGAGCTTGTGATCTGAGTATGTGGTATCTGATATCATAATGCCCCTGATAATGTCTTCATTGTTTGTAAAGACCAGATCTAGAATATTTTCATTTCTCGTTGGCTCAGATGAAGTGACTGCCGTAGCCTGTCTGGGTCAAAACCTGTGATGACCCTTCTCACAAGGCTCGTTATCTTGACCGTGTTCCTTAACTCAGTGCCTTCGTTATCTTATAAGCCTGTAAAAATACTTTCTTAAAATGTTCAATTCAAATTTTTTCTCCTCCTCACTTTTCAGATATTTTATAATACTTCGTGCATGTCATCACAATTTTCCGAAGATTTCAAAAAGCAATATCTCTATCCTAGACTTTTGATAAAAATTAAAAGTAGCTATTATTTCATTTGGATTCCACCTGTCTCTATCTGTCTATCTGTCTGTCTGTCTGTCTGTCTGTCTGTCTGTCTGTCTGTCTGTCTGTCTGTCTGTCTGTCTGTCTGTCTGTCTGTCTGTCTCCATTTCCCTAACTTCTAAAGACTTTATCCTACTATAACTCAGTCACTCCTCAAAAGTGATGTATTCCCATTTTAAATCGTAAATAGATATACTCACTTTTCCTTCCTATTACACCTATTTCATTTCTCATTTCACTTCATCGAGACTTTCTCTTCTCATGGCAGGTTTATTTTATTATGAGGGGTAAAAAAAAGGGAGGGAGAAGGAAAGGGAGGGAAGAGAGGTGGAGGGAGAAACTGAAGTGTTTAGGAAAGATGAGAGAGCAAGCTGGTATAAGGCGAACAAGTTATTACAGGTATAATCCGGGTATACTCCAGGTACACTCAAGGCATACTCCAGGTATACTCAAGGCATACTCCAGGTATACTCCAGGCATACTCCACGTACACTCAAGACATGCTCCAGGTATACTCAAGGCATACTCCAGATATACTCCAGGCATACTCCAGGCATACTCCACGTACACTCAAGACATACTCCAGGTATACTCTAGGATTTTACGTCAAACTTACTGCATATCAGTATAAATGTATGTCAGTATTTATTTCATCTTGCCATTGTTAGAAATAAAGCTATTATTATTATTTTTATTATTATTATTATTTTATTATTTTATTATTTTTATTATTATTATTATTGTGTGTTTACAGGGCGAGAGTCATCTCTGGGGCCCCGCCTCCAGCCTGCCAGCCGCCAACAACAACAGGTTGGTGAGTACTTGACCTCCCATTCATGTGTGTGCTATTGAGTGTACTCACCTAGTTGTTGTGCTCGTGGCGGTTGAGCTTCGGCTCTTGCATCCCGCCTCTCAACTGTAACACACGTAGATTTGTAGATTTATGTGTGTACTCACCTAGTTGTCCTCACCTAGTTGTGCTTGCGGGGGTTGAGCTTTGGCTCTTTGGATGAACAGGTTCCTGAGCCTACTGGGCTCTTTCAAATCTACATTTGTAACTGTGTATGGAGTCAGCCTTCACCACATCACTGCCTGATGTATTCCATCCGTTAACTACTCGACACTGAAGAAATTCAATCTAATGTCTTTCTTGCTTCTGGGTACTAAGTTTCCACCTGTGTCCCCTTGTTCGTGTTCCACCCGTGTTAAATAATTTGTCTATTTCCACCTTGTTAATTCCCCTGAGAAATTTTGTAGGTGGTTATCATGTCTCCCCTTATTCTTCTGTCTTCCAGGAACGTGAGGGGTTAGCTCCCTTAGCCTTTCCTCGTAGATCATACCTCTTAGTATTAAGAGTAGTCTGGTGGTATACCTCTGAATATCCTCTAACTTTGTCTTGTGTTTATCTGGGTATGAACTCCAGGCTGGAGCTGCATACTCCAGGATTGGCCTAACATAAGTGGTATTAAAAGTCCTGAATGATTCCTAACACAAGTTTCTAAAGGCAGTTTTTATGTTGGCCAATCTAGCATATGCCGCTGATGATATCCTTTTGATGTGGGCCTCTGGGGACAGGTTCGGTGTCATATCAACCCCCAGATCTTTCTCTCTATTTAACTCTTGCAAGATTTCACCTCCCAGATGATACCTTGTGTTCAGACTCCTATTCCCTTCGCCTAATTTCATTATTTTACACTTTCCTAATTTGAACTTTATTTGCCATTTTCTAGACAATTCCTCCAGTTTGTCCAGGTCACCCTGTAGCCTCTGTCTATCTTCATCGCTCTATATTCTATCGCTCTCTCTTCTCTGTTACAACAGAGAAGATTGAGAGAGAGAGAGAGATAGAGACAGAGAGACAGAGAGAGAGTCAGATAAATAACGTCCAGAAGCAGCCAGTAATAGACAGCCTGTCTCATCTTCCTTCCTTACCTCTTATCTCTTTCACTCTCTATTTTAGTTATCAGCATTCCAACATCTATCAACATTTCTAAACATAAAGATAATGGGAGGAGAGAACTCTTGCTGTAAATGGCTGAGGTCTGCCAGAGCCATTGTGCGTGTGTGAAGGGAAAGGTTTGCACGCTTCGCCATTCCCAGTTCCAATTACAGGGGATTAGAGGGGTTCTGTTCCGTACATCGTGGGAAAGGCAAGGAAATGGGGGAGAAGGTAGAAGAAGGGAATGGGAGGGAGGTGAGACGGAATGAGGGGGGGGGGGGTTGTTGACGGGAGAAGAGGGAAGAGAGGTGGGTGGTGAGAAGATTTAATTGGAAGGGGAGACAGGAAAGGGAAAGGAGAAGTAGAGGAAGAGGCTAAGCAAGCAGATGGGAGAAGCAGGAGACGGTAGAAATGAGGGCTCGAATGAAAATGAAAAAAAATGAAAAAAATGAAAGCTCGTGAGGGGAATATCCTCTCTGTTTTTCTGTTGTTTTTTTGGCGTGGGTGAGAATAAGCAGATTGGGGTGAGGGGAGAGGGGAGAGGAGACACGGGGTACGGGGAGAGGGGACATAAGGGGGGAGAATGCCCCTCCCCCCCATTCGTAGTAGATCGTGGTTCTCCACCACCACCATCTATCACAGGCAGTGCATATGGAAATTCATGCAAATCCCTAACTGTCCCTTCCATAGGAGGTCGACCCGTGACGGTGGTCACCCTACGACGCTCAACAGGAGCGCCGGATTAATGTGGTGGCGAGATGTGTCCAGGAGATCCTGTGGCAATTACAAGCGTTTGATGACGAATTTATCGTCTCGTCTGATAATACTACAACCTCTAGCTGGTACAGGTATTCACCCAGTTGTGCTTGCGGGGGTTGAGCTCTGGCTCTTTGGTCCCGGCTCTCAACTGTCAATCAACTGGTGGTGAACAGATTCCTCAGTGTACTCGGCTCTATCATATCTCCATTTGAAACGGTGTATGGAGTCAGCCTCCACCACATCACAATATATGGGAGTGTGTGTGTGTGTGCACTCACCTAGTTGTGTTTGCGGGGGTTGAGCTCTGGCTCTTTGGTCCCGGCTCTCAACTGTCAATCAACTGGTGGTGAACAGATTCCTCAGTGTACTCGGCTCTATCATATCTACATTTAAACCTGTGTGGAGTCAGCCTCCACCACAACACTACTTAACACATTCCATTTGTTAACTATCCTGACACTGAAAAAATTCTTTCTAACGTCTCTGTGGCTCATCTGGGTACTAAGTTTCTTCCTGTGTACCCTTGTTCGTGTCCCACCCGTGCTGGAGAGTTTGTCTTTGTCCACCCTGTCAATTCCCCTGAGAATTTTGTAAGTGGTTATCATGTCTCCCCTTACTCTTCTGTTTTCCAGGGTTGTGAGTTTCAGCTCCCTTAGCCTTTCCTCGTAACTCATTCCTTTCAGTTCCGGGACCAATCTGGAGTCATATCTGAATCTTCTCTAACTTCGTCTTGTGTTTAACTAGGTATGAACTCCAGGCTGGAGCTGCATACTCCAGGATTGGTCTTACATAAGTGGTATAAAGGGTCCTGAACGATTCCTTACACAAGTTTCTAAAGGCAGTTCTTATATTTGCCAGTCTAGCATATGCCGCTGATGATATCCTTTTGATGTGGGCTTCTGGGGACAGGTTCGGTGTGATATCGTCCCCCAGATCTTTCTCTCTATTTGATTCTTGCAGGATTTCACCTCCCAGATGGTACCTTGTGTTCAGCCTTCTGCTCCCTTCGCCTAATTTCATTACTTTACACTTTCCTGAGTTGAACTTTAGCAGCCATTTTCTAGACCATTCCTCGTTTGTCCAGGTCGTCCTGTAGTCTCTGTCTATCTTCATCTGTTTGGATTCTTCTCATAATTCTTGCATCATCAGCAAACATTGCGAGGAATGAGTCTTTACCCTCTGGAAGGTCGTTTACAGGTCGTGTGTGTGTGTGTGACTCGTAGTACATGTACAGAGGTTGGAGTACACTCGCAGGAGTAACACTCCTGCGAGAGTGGAACAAAGTGTTCCAGAGCTTCAACTGGTTGAATTGTTCTCCTACATGCAGCCTGGGTTGTCAAGATGAAGGAGGTGCACTTGCCTGAGTGAAAGCCCAATAAATCGTTCCGGTTACCTCGTGAGGAAGATTACTGGAGCGAGTTGTCTCGTATACAGCTTCAGGAGGTCCGTGTGGGCCATCTATCTAACTCTGACTTTTTTAATTAATCACGGCTCCTAGGGTCAACATAACTTGCTAAGTCTGCACTGATTAGTTTATTACCAGACTGACAGTCTTGGATTGGTTCCCCTCGTCATGCCTCTCCAAGATGTCCTGTCACTCGTGCCACAGTCATCAAGACTCATCTTCAGTGTCTGTGTGTCGTTGATTTATGATAAATGAACAAATTCATGATCATGGTCATGATCAAATGAACTCGACTCGTTGAACCTGTGTGTTCTTCGGTCGGTTGAGAAAGGGGTTGCTTGGAGACAGGTTGAGGGAGGGGGATGCTTGGAGACAGGTTGAGGGAGGGGTTGCTTGGAGACAGGTTGAGGGAGGGGTTGCTTGGAGACAGGTTGAGGGAGGGGGATGCTTGGAGACAGGTTGAGGGAGGGGTTGCTTGGAGACAGGTTGAGGGAGGGGTTGCTTGGAGACAGGTTGAGAGAGGGGTTGCTTGGAGACAGGTTGAGGGAGGGGTTGCTTGGAGATAGGTTGAGGGAGGGGTTGCTTGGAGACAGGTTGAGGGAGGGGTTGCTTGCTCTAAGGGCAAGTGCCAGTGCCTAGGTTGAAGTGGAAGAGTATCTATGGCTAGAGGGAAGAAGTGGGGTCCAACACTGCTGGGGACCAACACTGCTGGGGGCCAACACTGCTGGGGACCAACACTGCTGGGGGCCAACACTGCTGGGGGCCAACACTGCTGGGGGCCAACACTGCTGGGGGCCAACACTGCTGGGGACCAACACTGCTGGGGTCCAACACTGCTGGGGACCAACACTGCTGGGGGCCAACACTGCTGGGGTCCAACACTGCTGGGGACCAACACTGCTGGGGTCCAACACTGCTGGGGGCCAACACTGCTGGGGGCCAACACTGCTGGGGACCAACACTGCTGGGGACCAACACTGCTGGGGGCCAACACTGCTGGGGACCAACACTGCTGGGGGCCAACACTGCTGGGGTCCAACACTACTGGGGGCCAACAGTGTACTATATTGCCACCAGTAAAGTACAGAACCCGCACACTTTAAGGAGATAACTAGGGAATGATTTCTACCTGGAAATTCCTACCAGGTAAGAGTTAGAGAGGAATGAGCTCTTACCCATGAATCCCAGGTCAAGTGGAAGAGGAACGACTCGTTTCCGTGCGTGACAAATCTGGTGGAAAAGGCAGGACCTCTTCCCCCCGAGTGACAAGACCAGTGGAGGAGAAAGCTCCTCCCATGTGTGGTAGACCTAGTAGATGTTTGTCTACCTACCTTGAGGCTACCTTGAGGTGCTTCCGGGGCTTAGTGTCCCCGCGGCCCGGTCGTCGACCAGGCCTCCAGGTCCGTCTACCCGGACTAGTGACAGGAACTTCTCACCTGGTGCAGACACTGAAATAAAAATAAAGGACAACAAAGATAAACAAAACGATGGAGCAACAGATAATTAGCGACTAAGAGCAGCTTGATCGCAAAGAGCTGTCGATAGAGGCCCGTCAAGATAAGGAAGAAGCAAGGTCCATAACCAGGGGGGAACACTAGCCACCAGGGAGGGCCAAGAGGCCCCTGAAGGAGCGAGAGTGAGGGCTCCTGAAGGAGCGAGAGTGAGGCCCCTGAAGGAGCAAGAGTGAGGCCCCTGAGGGAGCGAGAG